CAAATGACTATAGGCCTTTTTTATTAAACCCGAGTCAAAATAATGGCAGCAAATGAGAAAATGAAAGAAGAAACGAGAATTACACTATTCGAAATCATAGGAAGTAGTTAAATATCAAGTAACAAAAACGGAACTACACACCCAATTGGAGGAATAAATATTTAAAAAAAGAAGAGCAAAAGAGGAAATCAGGTGGGTATTGTAAAATTATCACCAGAGATTAGTTCTAATTAGCAGCAATTAGTTTTGTGGAATACTTAAAATTACACGGGAAAGTTGATACTTAAAAAGATTTATATTAGGGGGGGGAGGGGGGGGGGGGTTAAAATGGCAGTATCATATTAGAACCTCATCACAAGCTGGGGCCTTGGTACTGTTAGCCTGCGTTGGAGGAAGTGGTGGAGGAGGAAGAGTAGTTTCAGGATTTAATGAAAGCTCGGAGACAGTTTTCCGACGCACTTCCAATGCTTCTTCGACCAGATTCAGCAATTTTGTCAACGCACCAGCCATCTCTGACTCAAGTTCTTGGACATTACCTCTGAAAAGTAAGAAGTACCCCTTGTTACAATCAGCGAAAGATTTCTAAATCGCGGATAATTCTGATTTTATAAACCTATAGGAAGTAGATCCCGTGGAATTCTAGAGCACATTTTTAACTTATAACTGTCGGATGATGACAAAGAACAAAGAACGCAAAACCATCCTACTCTCAGAGCCAATCATAATTGACACCGTTTATCACAGACCGGATCCCACTCCCTCAGGGCTACCTTTTATTCTCAACCTTTCTAATTTCCATGACCCCATCAAACTCTTCTCTCTCTCTCTCTTGCCTTTAAAATTACCTAATATCCACGTGGTCACAATGAAAATATCAAAGCAGAAACAGTACAACGCCTAAGCGCGCTCAACTCATGGAGGCATTGATGATATCTCACCCTACAAAACGAATGAATTTCACCAAAAAAACGAAACAAAAACAAACCACAAAAACATTTTTTCCAACAATGAGTGCAGATACTCGCGCGTGGATGAAGAGGCTGAATTTGCTCAGTGCCTTTTGAGCACCTATCTCTCAACCAAAATAGGTATAGAGCACTCCGTTATCGCTATTTGAAACTAAAAAAAGTTGCCACCAATTATGAGCATAAGATCCACTGGATTTGGAGATTTGTGAGGGGTTACCATAGGAAAATGTAATGCCCTTTTACTACCAACAGCATTGCAAGCTAAACAAAAATAGGGCAATAACAAAGACGCCTAAAGTAAGGGCTTTACCCAAAACACCGTTACATGCGTCAACAGATCTACAAGTGTCCAAAAAGTGGGGCCACAGGAGCAATTTAGATAAATAAATAAAAAAAATAAGAATTTTTTAGGTGATCAAAAGGCCAATCCTATTCAGAAGAAAAAAATAAGAGAGAAAGAAACAAAATGAATGGAATGGGTGGAAATTGGACACCACGTTTCAATTTCTTCCAACCGAACATAAAAAACAATGAGACATTGTAAACCAGTATGCAGATCATACTTCCAGTACAATACAGACGGATTAGGGCACCTATGCCACTAAGCTTATAATTCCCAAAGATTTGTAAGCCCTTTTAGCTAGAGCTCAGCTTACAATGTGGGTTATTAAAGCTTTAAGTAGATGTTGGCTTCATAAAATTGCTTTTCACATTCCAATTCGAACTCAACGGAATTTAGGAGAGCATTCACCCTGCTTGAATAAGTTTAGAAAACTAAGCAGCAGTACAACATCCATCGTTTAAGTTATAGAATACTTAAATGTAATCCAGCAGCGTATATTTATGAAAATGATACTAGTTGGCAGGATTTGAGCGTGTAACAGAGAGTAAGGGAGGGACACACAACCACAAATCAAAGTTCTTAGACAACAGTGCAGAGACTCTGAAAGAGAAAATTTTTCAAAAAAAACGCGCCACTTTGTGGACTTTACGCCTCGATCAGGAGAGAACGCATCCGACCTTACGCAGGGGGCTGCCAAACGTCTCTCCTTTTATAATGCACAGGCCGAGATGCAGTGCCAGTGGATGTACATCTAATTGCAACAATCACCAATTACTAATGACAACCCACACCGACGTAAAATAAATAAACTTCAAAGATTTAAAAATAAACAACAGAGAAGCTAAAGAGACTACACGTAGGCCTTAAAGTACACTTGATAAATACTCTAGGAAAATGCTAAAAACACGGGAACATACTTATAAATATATAAGTAATATATAAGTACCCAAGACGGGATGAGCGTTATAGGGGTTGCAAAGGTCTTATTAGGGAAAAATCTCGTTTTTAAAGTGCCTTAAGGTTATCTGAAAAGTAAAGACGGTTTGAAACTTCATATCTCCAGGAAAAGTGAACCGCCTTTTAAATATATGGGAAGAAATTTTTCAAACGACGAAATAAGCGACCCGAAATTTAACCACTCGAACGATCTTAGTAAATAATCAACTACATGAATATCTATTCACAAATTATCAATCATTAATTACCTAATTTAGGTTACAAGTTACTAAGACTGTTTTCGAAACAAAAAGGTTGCCAAACTAGTCAATTTAGAATCTCCACGTTATGGTCAATAGGCAAAATTCACAGTAATCGGACTAATATTAATACTGAAGAACTTGAAAAGTACGCTTAGAATCAACAAAACATTTAAAAATAACACAAATCTACCATTGATGATCGTAGCATTTCACACATATTTTAAACAAAAATACGTCTAAAATCTCGAGCACTTCTAACAGGGCAGTTCTTTTCTAATAGTGCCATCTAAGGAAAAATAATTGGATGATAGATATGCACATAGGTTACTAGAAACTCACCGAGATTGTCGTAGATTAGCATCCAAATCCCGCAGTTTCAGTTGTAAGCTACGTCGGGAATCAATAAGGGCTAAATAACGCTGGTTTGCTTCCTCATAACATTTGGACCAATCCACATTGGAGTGTTTTTGGAGTTCTGCAGCTTCCTGTTCAGAGTTGCGATCAGCAAATGCGGCAGCAACTTCTTTATCTTCGGGACGCCGATAATTATGACCTTTCGGTTGATCTACAAAGGGGGTTATATATGGGGAATTATTTATACTGTAGGCTGTTGCCGCATTTTGGAAAGTCGCGTAGTGACCTGCATTGGATGAAACCCTTCGATGATGATGTGATGTGGGGACGGGTGAACGCGTTCTAGTCGGATTTACTGGTTGCCGGACGTCGGTTCTACGTAAGACAAACTGAAAATGTTTAGGATGATCCCCGAATCTATGAAGAGAAAACAAATGCGTTCAGATTAAAATAATTTCAAAGTTAAAGCTATTATTAAAACTGATAAATAATAACCTTCTAATGATTTTTAAAGGACTTTCAGAATGAGCTAAAACAATTTCATTTTTCTGCCAATATGCAACTAGACAATATGATCCGACCAGATGAAGAGATTGACATAAAACATTTACTACTTCTTCGGATGTGGTACTATTATCAACTCCACAGACATCTCTTGGTTTCCCATTTACAAATACTTGAAGCTCCATAAACGACCAGAGCGATTTAACTGGTCGGATTGAATGCTTTCAAAGTCATGTACCGTTATTGAATTAGTCAAACAAAATTTGTAATTTTAAAATAGATAATTTACTATCAATTATAGTTTATCGATAAAAAATTATTTAGTCTCAACTGAATACCGAGGTTTGTCAAGTCTTTATCAAGGGAAATCTCTTTCAGTGGTGAACTCTCATGGGAAATATTGCGTATAATCTTTGACGGTTGAATTTAATAAGATCTAGAATTTCAATAGTCATCCCGAATTTTAAAGTAACATATTTTAAGAGGAATCGTCTTCCTTTCTTGTTTATCTTAATAATGCAATTAGCAATATACGTATTGAGCATATAATTATTCACCTGACGCCGAAAGCTTAAATCGCATTAATGCCACTATAGTATTGACCTTTGATGAGAAATCGAAGTACATTAGCATTACTAAATCATAAATATTGAGCTGGATTATAATATTGTTTAATTTTCAAAATTCTAATAAAAATTATATAACATATAATACCGATATATACGGAACGATTGATTGACTATTCTGATTTTAATGCTAATCACCAAGATTTTCATTTTATACAGTCATTTATTACACTAAGTAATTGTCGATTTTTGTTCAGATCTAACATAACCAAATAATATTGTCAGATGCTTTGCACATTTGACGGGAATCAAGTAAATCTAAGGCTTATTCAATCGCACTTAATCATGGGAGCATTGTCTAAAAATTATAGTCTGATATTCAGTTTTGCATTTGCTTTCTTCACGCATTTTTTAAAAAAATCAAAATATTTAGATCGTTCATTAAATATCAAAATTCAGTTTTATAACTCAATACGTCCAAGATTAGCTTTGCCGCCTCCAGCTAATTTTTCAATCCCTACGAGATTCTTGCAATATCTGTCACTTTTTGTGATTATTTCTGATATCCTATCTTTGTGAAAGCATATTATTTTGATATCTCCAAAGAGGGGCAGCCAAACTTGTTGACTTAGAGAAAATCCAGTCATTTTAAATAAATCATCAAATTATCTGCAAATGTTTTAGAATTTCTAACTATCTTCTTAAATGTTAATCAGCTTCAATTATAAGGTAGAATCAAACAGATTCCATAGGCTGATTTCAATTATTAAAATAATATTTGGCAAATTATATGGTTTCTCTATATTTTATTCGTTTAGAAAATGGAACCATTTATAGTAGTAAGCTGGTTTGTTACAGAAATTCAGTCTAAATAGAAACGCCTTCTTAGAAAAATATCGACCGATTCAATTCACTATTGCTTGTATCAATTATATTTCATCGTCTATCTTCACGTATGTTCCGCTCTTTCCCATGACGCCCACATCATAGTCCTTGTATTCGTGTAAGAAGTCTTTCGCTGTGCTGGGTCTCTTCGACTCATCCACCTTGATCTCTCCCGTCTTGTCGCCATTTGAGTAGAAAGCATGGAAATTTTTCTTATTTGCTTCTATAAAGCCAAAAGGTGATTTATAAATAGCATTTTTACTTCAATTTGTTTGAAGTAAATAAATTTGTTACCTTCCAAAAAAACTTTCTATATGAAAGTGCAATGCAACTTATTTCAGTGAAAATAAATAAACATGTTGTATTAGAAAATCCGTCGAGTACATCATTTAAAAAATTTCTAACACATATATAACGACTCTCCTCTTCAAATTATTCAAATAAACTATATCTACGCAGTTTACCATAGATAAATTTAATTAACATGTTACTTAGCTAACCAAAGTGTCGTGCACTTATGTGGAACTACTTATTCCATAGTAGAATCGATGTGAATTGCACTGCGATTTAAATAAGCTAAGCTTACTAATCAATATTGATTTTTCATCATTTTACCTTCCCCGAGGTTTGATTTGAAATACAAACAAACTGATGACAGACTTACCGGCAAGTTCCTTGTAGGACTTTCCATCTCCTCCTAAATCCGATGGTAGCACTGCCTTTAGACCAGGTTCAGCTTCCAAAGCGACCTTAATATCTGAACCACAGCGCAGCATCTGTCGAGGAAAATAAATTTTACCATATTTGGGCATTAAATAAATGTGATTCAAAGGAATGATACCCACCCGATTTTTCATCTTATCCTTCATGTAGAACATAAAGACACTAAGCATAGCATCCATAAATTTGCCTTCATTGTAGAAAATCATTCTTTGAACTCTTCCAGGCATTGCTTCCTACAAAATTTATACAAAATATATATATATATACTGAAGTCTGTGAAGTCTATATCAGGGCCTTCTAAAGATCCGCCCAGGGTGGTCAGTTTGAAAATTCCATTTCGTGAAACTATTTTTTGAAATCAAATACTCTCCCACAGGAATAAGGACCCATGGGCGCCTATTCAAATGGGTGGTCTTTCGGAAAATCTCGATATTTTGGTGGGATATATGAAATATTAGTTATTTATCACAATTAATTCTTTTCGTTTTGCATTATGATAACTAGAACGTTCAATTCAGCATCCCAATTTATGACAATCGAGAAGTGTCACATTTATTTCACTTTTCAGATTGACGTAATCGAGATTTTAAGTTTTCATCCAAAATTAATCGCTTGATTTGCACTGAAAGTGATGGTATTTAGAAGCAATTCAATGTGAACAAACCTGGACAAAGTGGAGCATCGACCGAATAATATTAGGATCACTGATGACATTCTTGGAAGTTGATCCAGTTGAATCCAGAATTAAAACAACGCCTCCAATCAGAGCTCTCGGATCTGAATTGACCATAAATATCACTTTGTAGGCAAAGTAGAAGGCTTCTGCAATACTCATTTCTTCTTGATTCAAAACCCCTGCAATTGAATACGTTAGGTATATTCTATTTTCCACTTACTTGGTCGAATAGCCACCACCATCGGACCACTTTCCATATAGCCCAAAGGAACATGTAATCTAAAAGAAAATAGGCATCTTACGGTTTTTATCTGTTAAGCACGCTTCTAAGCGGCAACATTTGCAAATATTTGCATACATAAAAGAAAAATGTGGACTTTTACCTACATTGAAAGTTCGATTTAATAAAGCTAAATAATAAGTAGAAGCATTCAATAGCGAAAGGGAAGTCCCTCAAAATTTATTGATTTTCAGTTTTAATTAACATAACTACACTTCGGCGGTAAATTTGAAGAGTAACTGCCGAAAAAAGATTATGATGACAATTCCTTTAGTCGTTTACCTTAAAGTACCGTTGGCTTGTCAAAGAGCTCAGGTGCACGAGTGTTAATGTAAGTGCGTTCCCGAATCTCTTCAAGAAAGGTAGAAAGATTTTGAAGTGGTAAGAACAGGCTTTCTCAAATAATAGCTTGCTTTGGGCTGCTTAAACGAGTGTTTTTGAGGTTTTACTTACGGCTTATATATGAAACACACACAGAAAATCAATTAATTACATAATCAGATTTGTCCTCCACTAAATTATCCCGAAATTGATCTAACTTTAAATAAAAGAATTGGAAATAAAATTAACATGCAAATAAAGGTTTTTTCCCCGAATGGAAGCATTAATTATATTGGCTAATTTAATAATAAAATCAGAATTAAACATGAAATTTCTTATATTCTTTTTGAGTATGTGCCCATTCATTTCATACCACTTAACTCACTTCCATTTTGTCTTTAAAGAAATTTTACGATTGTCCACAAAAATTATAAATTCACATTTTCTGATTGTGGAAAGCAAGTGACATCGAATGACAATAGATTGAATAGATGATGAAGAGGGATAGGGGGGGGCGGGGGGTGGAGAGTAGGAGGTTAAGAAGATCCGAAGACCAGCGACAAGTTATCAAGGGCTTTCAAACTCGGGCTGTACAATAACTACTAAATGGGTAGTTAACATTCCAAATTCACCTTCCTCGATTTGTCGAATGGATTGCAGACAAATACCTGTCTGTGATGTTCAGTGCATATTGATTCGTCACCCCTAATCATCAAGGGCTTGCCTTACATCTCCTCTTCTTTTACGAGGAAACATGACACTTTATCAGAGCTTAAGCACGTTCTGCGATTATCTACGAAACATAGAGATTGAATGAAGAACGCAAAAAGGATTCGCACTCTGATGAACTCATAAAATGTTAATCTTTTCTTGCAGTATCAAGGAATTGTCTCTTAGCATAAAAAGCAAAGGCGTAAAAATATGCCCAGGTCATGTGGAAATGGATGCTTACAATTAACACCTTCAGCACTTGGAGGTAAGTGAAAAAATATCGATTAATCTGTTTTTATTTTTCTAGCAAGATCCAAGATATTCGCATTAAACTAAAAGATATAAAGTGTCTGTAAGCAGTCTGCTTTTACAATAGAGTATATATTTAGCATATGGGGTGTGCGATAGACTTACCTCCACGTGGTGCACCCTGGGCAACGTGTATTCATACGGCAAAAAAGTCTATTAACTGGCAGTTGACTTCTCACTTCAACCTATCATCACCTCACTCTATGCCATATTCGACTACTTTCACAGTACTCACCTCACCTTTTTTCTACCTTTGTGTTTGTCTCTTACATCTTTGAAACACTCTTCTGCCCCCCCCCCTCTCGACTTTATTTCAATTTGATGTTCCTTCCCCTCTGTGAATCCTGAAGTCAACTAAAGGGCTAATGATAACCATCAAGACGCCAGCCATTCGATATAAATAAATAAATATTTAGCATACTGGGGACTTAAAACACACAATTATGAGAAGTGTGGTAAATCTAGACTATTAGCAAAATGTCCTAACTTGCCCTATGTTGAGATAGTACTCAAGTCTCTTGGATTGCAGATCAACCGGAGTAGCCCAAATGTAGTCACCAACGCACTTCCTAGTTGAGAGGGTACAAAAGTTATCCAATCTGGCCTGGGCCTTGGAGTGAGAAAATTTGCACTGTCGAAGAAACATGAGTAGAAATTCATCATCTAAAATTGAGCATAGAAACTAGGGTTAAGAAAATATTCCAAATACATAAGATATAGTAAATACAACTTTAACAAGTGATAAAGACGTTAATATTTGAACTCCTCAATTGCGTGTCCAACAGATCATGGAATTTGACTATCATTGACAATTAGTAAACATGTTGATTAAGAAGCACAAGTCGTGTTTAGATGTGTAAAGATGAAGTTAACATAAAGGTCAAACGACCTACTTGACGCCTCTTATTGTCAGATTTTGCAAAGCTTTAGTTGCATACTAGGGGTAGTTGAAAGCAATCTCTTAAATTAAAAGCTTTAATCTCAACAGGAAATGCAAATTCTCAATTTACAAATACTGCAAATAGCTTGATTTAGCAAATACAGTCAATTTATCACATGGATACCATAAATCTGTTCTTATGCCACTGAGTATTGATGAAATATTGTATTTTGTTCTTTCAAGCAGCTTCCATTGAACGCTCCAACCCCACTATAGCCTAAATCAAAATCAAAGAATCAATACCTATGATGATCGCAAATCGTCATGAGTAAATGCCCTCTTGATAGGTAAATAAATTTATTTCCTTACTTTCTCCACTCTATTATATCTGAATTGTGCGGATAGAAGTGGAAAAACTAATAGATGAATTAAAGTAAACGCATAAATTTAATTTATTTTAAACTTGCCGTCAGGACAGGTAAGATGAGGCATTGAGGAAAGCCATCTACGCATTGCCTCACAATGAGCCGAATCATTTTTGAAATCTTCGCCCAAATTCACCTTGGCTAATTTCTTGTACTTTGTGGAGAGTTGTTGCTCCGTCATGACTGCACCCTGTCGACACAACAAATAATACTCACCTTCTCCACCCTCCCCCCCTCCCAATCGTGACATTTATATACTAGCAGAGATGCGACCACACCCATGATTAATTTGTGTGATGCCACTCTCTGAAAAAAAATCGATGTTAGTGTGACACTTTTGAGATGCCCTCTTTGCACACACACGCACACACACTTGTTTTTCTTATCCGTTTAAATTGAGTCAAAACAAATTCTTACAAAAAAATGCAAGCTTCCGAACTTATTAGACTGTATGAATCTGTACTAATGGGGATTTCGTTGACAAACTAACCCTTAAAATAACTTTGGCCTTGCAAAGTGTGAGCGTATATATATAACTACTCCATTGTATGCAAAAGGAGGTTAGGGAAGTTGAAGTATTGGTTTCCATTACTCCTCGAAAGCAATTAGGCAAATATATGTGCTTGTTGGAGTGAAGCTGTTAAAGAAGGCGGCAAGGCAACAGCCATTCGATAATTTACATTGTAGAATGTGTGTTTCCATTTTATTATGGCAAATTTAAGATTACCTGGAGAGGGAAAGATAGCATTTGTGGTCGAAGTTACTCGTCTACCTTAGCATTACAAGATCGAAAGATTCTCAAGTTGATCGAGTGGACATTGCAGATCTCCCCCTCTCACTTTCCCTCCCTCCCTCCCTTCCCATCACTCTTTATTGCAACAAAAAACAATGTGCACTTTTGTCAAATTCGTACTAATGATACGATCTATGCTATAATTGCGCTTGTTATTACTACTACGCAATTTTAATGACTAAATGGAGTATTTTGGAGCTGTAGACGGCAACTTAATGTTCAGTGTGTAAAATTGGTTACATTGGAGCGTGCGAAACCAGGCGAGGGCTAAATTAGAAGTTAAGTTAATTTAAATGGAATCTCTTCCAGAAATTTTGCACTTTTGATAAAAATTTACATTTGAAGAGAGATAAGTATATATATATATATACATGTGTGTGTGTGTGTGCGTCGATATAAATCGTAATCGTTCTATCTCTTTCGCCTCATTTCATTACCCCAGAGACCACTATGCCCAGTTTCTACCTCACCACTCGGTATTATAAAATGGCGGATAATAAGAACATTATGTAAGTTACTTCCACGCAAAAAGGTTGAATTATGACACTTTATGCAAGCGGTAGGAAACAAGCAGGGAGGAGGAGGAAAGGAAGGAAGGAAGGAAGTGGGAGAATGTGAAAAGACGAAATAAGCGCACAGAAAATTACACATACAGGTGGGAGCATGGGCGAGGGGAGAAGATTAGAAGGAAAAAACAAGATTTGGAGAAGTATGACTAAACTTTGTTGTGATTGGATGGTTTACTTTAATGTAGGTATTTTTCAATAAGCTTTCCTTAAATGTTTGGACATAAAGCCACGCAGCATGCAAAAAAACTACAGGATGAAGATTAAAATTGCGTAGAAGTAACAAAATTCAGAGATATTGGTAAATATGAATCAAAATTAGTGGGACAAAAGTAGAAATAATTGTTTCAAAAGGTCGTGGAGGAGAGTTCGAAAGTGATTGCTTGTGTGTGTGTGAGTGGGAGAGCCGATTTTCCGCCAAGTTACGAAGGACTATCAGCAAAATCATTTCTGAAAGAAAAACAGCACAACTTGTAAAATAGCACAGATATAAAAAAGACTAATAAAATAAAAATGGTAATGATAGCATTGTGTAATCGCATATTTTTGTAAATTTTGGCAATAATCTTATTTTCAGGACTGCAAAATTATTAATGAATTTATTCCTAATCCGTAAAAATAAGTAAATTACATTGTAACTGAAAGTCACATTTTATAATTGTTTTACATTTTGCAAGATATCTAATTTTTGAAAGTCACACTTCTTCATAATCATATTTTAAATTACATCACCGTTTGAGATAAAAAACAAATGTTATGCAAAAGTCAAAGCCACAAATTCACAGCCCCATTTTTGTCAAAATGTAGAGCTTATATAAAAGTTCCCTTAGTTCATATGTGCAATAGAAGGGCGATAAAAAATGGAAAGGAAGTATAAATTGGAATATTAATTTCGATATTGCCTCATCTTCCCACTTTCCGTGGAATAATGAACAAATTATTCGAATTTTATAAGCACTCTCTAAATATGCCAAAATTTCATTGGAAATAGGGTAAGCCGCGTTATTCTACGAAGTTTACAAACTTAATTCCGTCAGATCCAGTTATAGACAGCGAGATTGATCTAAGGAGAGCAGAATCGCAGTGTGACACAGAATAGAAGTTATATCAGAGTTAAGTGTAAAATCACTTAATTTTGTTACTGAAATCCACTGTTGAACGTGGTGTCGTTGTTAAATAACTTAGCATGAGCATATCTATAAGAATAATGCTACGCATTCCATGGACTGGAAACATTTTGACAGCACGCGAGAACTCTACCACTTGTAAGTCAATAGAAAAAAGAGAGGGAGAGAGAGACTTATCAGTGAAATGAAGAAGTGCAAAAGTGGAAGCTACCTCTCAAATGGTCTCAAGGACGTCGATGTGTGTTCCACTGCAATCAACGTCAGGCAACTAAACAACAGGAAATGCTAGTTAGTGCCATAATAAAATTGCAATGGAACTGCTATACTATTATACTGCTAATTGCTTAATTAAATCCACGAAAGAAAGCCAAAGAAAAAAGGTCGTTTATAGGGGGAACGTAATATTACCTTGCTTTCATATAAAGCCTTTGTAGCCTCTAGCTCTTCTTGTGCCTGCTGAAGCTTTGAGTAGGTCTCACTGAGTTCCTTTCTCTGAGCTTCAAGGCAGGATTTGAGAACTTTGGGGTCAATCTGAAAGAAAAGGAAAACAGATGATCACAGAGACCAGATCCATGTATTATAGAGGAGTGCTTTATGAAGTGATCACTCACTTCGGATGATGATTTGGCCAATTCAACCTCCATATCGACACAACGCTGTCTCAACTGATTCTCAAGTTCCTCACGTTGAGCTAACCAAGCATTTATCCATCGTTCCAATCGACTGATTAGACGTTGTTGATCAGCGTGATTTGATGGGCTGTTGGCGGATCCAGTGGTTACGGTACGAAGGGCAAGAAGGAGGTTTCCACAAGTGATAGACTTGGACGATTTTGATAACGTGGAAGTAGTTGATGAAGCCATTTCAGCTAACAAGGTTTCTGCCTCAGCCAGTTGTTCTGCGGTACGAATGAAACGATCCTGGAGACTATGAAGGACTTCACGAGTCTCAATGCAGGCCTTTGACTTGCAGAGCTGGAGTAAGGCGAATAGGTATGAAAATACGAGGCTAATTAGCAAATATATTAATGAAATTTTTCTCTGATAAAAGTATTCATTAACCTAGTATAACTATCTTAAATCAAATTATTCCAACTATTTAATTTATGCATCACAAATTTTGCCACCCCCTCCCCCTTAGGTCCTTGTACTCAGAAGCACATAAGGCTACCACGGTTGAACTAAGAGAACTCATGCGCACTCAGATAGACTCGAAGGTGCGGCCGTGCTGCTTGTCGCGTAGGGTGTAGCGCAGTTGGAAGCAAAGAGACTCCTCAGCCAGCCACAAATCAATGGTCTCTGAATCGTTTAACAAAATTTTCAGGGCACTTTAATGCCTGGGCTCTATGCCATACCTCTACTTCCTCTGTAACGTTGAGGGGATCTTGAAATGAAGAGTATGAGTCAGGGCTTATTCGTGTAGCAATCCCCTTCATCATCAGTCCTACATTACTCTCCCGTTTACGTTGAATTCGTGAAAACTTACTTGAACTGGATGATGAAAAAAGAAGTTACAGCAAAGATCTCAGTCAGGAGTATTACTTAAAATGCAATTAAAAATTATAGTTCGAGGCGTTTTCAGTTAAGTTCAGTTAATGACATAAAAGTTTTATGCAACAATAAAATTTAGAGGATCAATCGTTTAACATTTGCTCTCGACTATTAATTTCAATAAAATTGACAGTTTCAGCTGTTCATTACTGTTAAAATTTGAAATTCATTCATTTGAAGTATCATGTGGACAAATCGAACCGTTTAAATGGAGAGCTTTAAGCTATTTATTTTCCTTTCGAGATTTGGGGGAAATCACTTCTGCTCGATCATGGGAAGACGGCTAATTTTATGACAATATTAACAACATTAGGGGATTGCGAGTTCACTATTGGTTTGTCGTTAAATCACGAATTTTCTCAAAACATGATCACCTCTAAATTTGACCTCTTTCAAAGGACGTTTTACCTTATTTGCGTCGGTGTCTTCACCAGTTGATTGTCTATGAGCAGAGGTGGAAAAAAGGGCGGTGTCTGTCTCGTAACCACGGGAGTCAGTCAGACGTTGACGTCGTCTACCTGCATTCGCCTCCAGGGTGGTCGATTCAGAGAACTCACGTAGCATATCCTCATACAATGCCTATTTAAGAAGAAACGCAAGGCTAAGAAATTAAAGCCAGTAATTATGCTTAGAAAAGAATTTTAGACAAGGCTAGTCGTTAGTAGTGTTCGTTATGTGAAGTCGAGTAATCAATAGCCAATTTCACTGCAGTCCCTCTTCCAATTTCTGAAAAAATCTTCAATATTTTATGATAATTAACAGGGAATGTTATTCTCTAGGAGATAAAGGGTTAAAATTGAATGCTACTGTCAAGTACTCAAGACATACTTTGTGCTGAATGCGACTATTTGAAGGTGCATCATGCTGAGATTAGCATTCATTTTTCGTAAATATGTCTGTTAGTAAGTTCTTTCTGTCCAGAATATTCGAACTAAATAACTGCAAGTTATTTAAATTTTCTCCATATCGGTAGATGTTTATTCATGATCAAAGTTAATGGAAGCAAAGTGTTTTTGTTAGTATTGATTCCATAATGCTATTTCACAAACTACCTCATGACAATTGTTCATTGGGATCAAATTCTCGATGAACTATTCTGATTGTCAATTTTGAAAAGAATACAATCCAAAAATATTTAAAAGATAGTTTAAATTACTAGACAGATAGTTCAAGTGAATTGGTTGCAGAGCATTTCTAGATGTGTATTGCATCTCTCTGTATCTCAGCATGTCTGAAGGAGAATGATTTGTCACAATCTAGAAGGAACTGAAATCTAGTTGAGACCTATCACTGGATTTATTTTCGACTGGAGGGAGACAACAATAGCATCCTACAAATGAAGTGAAGTGCAGTTGGTCACAAACCAGTGACAAATGATTTATCTTAAACAAAAAATGGTAAATATATACTTTTTTCTGTGGTTTGTGCTTGTGATTTGTGATGAAGAAACAGTTAAACTTCCTGTGTTAGTGCACACATCAGTCCCAATTTTAATCCAAAAGTAATAAAACGAACCTCTATCATTTCCTTGAATCAAAAATAGAAAGTACGAAGTGAGGGGTGTTATGTAAGGAACTAATTAGAGTTAGGAAGGGTCACTTTGGAAATTTACCTGCAATCTAACACCGGCCCGTTGGGCGCAGGATTCGGATGCCTGTAGGCTGGCCATTCTGTCATGGAGAGTTCTTTGTTCCGCTTCAAGTTGAATGATACGAGTAGCTTGCTCCTGTAAGCGCACTCGATCTAATTGGCTGGCTTCTGTCAGAGCTGTGTTCTCTGTCTTCAGTTTGATTATCTGTCACAAAAGAAATAATAGATTAAATAAACGAACTACTCCATGTTAGAAACAATAGTTGGTCTAGGGAGTGCAAGATGTATCTAAGGGGTCATTCTTCAGGGGTCTGTACAAATAATATTTGTGTTCAATTTGAAATTAATGTATTTGCAAAATGGCTTTCTAATATGATCAGTTAAATATTCATCACCACAATCAGAAGATGAGAAATTAGCGAAGCTTTTGACGCAGAGTTTCGCATTACAAAACGATAGTTATTCCCTTGAATTTCATTCGTGACAGACCAATCTCAACGAAGGATTCTTTCCAACAAGTTCGAGATATTCCATCTATGCCACCTTTACTGTTTTTAATTATTATTTGATTATAAGTAAAAAGATTAATGAAAAAATAGCCAAATTGATTGTTTTCATTGTCCAAAGAATAAGTCTTTTATTGATGTATGGAGGGGAGACTTTTCAAGGTGAGCTTTCAATATAATTCTTAACCTTTTAATGCCTTTAGGATCGTACAGTCCTCTTTCTAAATAAGTTCCATTGGCAACAGAAGGTGCTATTGCCTTTTGAAACATGTTCAATACGTCTGTAGCTGCCGTCTGTTACCACCAAAATTCATTACGTCGGCATCAGTCTGCTGTAAGATACGCGTGAGTGCGATTTGGTCATTTAGCAAAAAAAGAATTCGGACATTAAAGGGTTAAATGATATTAATTATCTTTTACTTTCATATTGTATGTATACAGCTTATTGAGTTCTGCTAAGTTACCAATGTTTCTTACCCCAGGTCTGATTGATTAGAAGCATGTAATCCGTCTACTATCATGTATGCTTATTGTGGTTTCCAGTTTTGAAGGAACGAAAATGAATTAAGGTGATACAAGTGAGTCAATAAGAGCTGGAGATCTTGTAGTGGAATTTATCCAGAGATCAATAAGTGACCAATCATAAAATTTGCACTTCTGATAGCTAACTACTCACAAAGCAAATGGAGCTTTCTCCGAAACCAAAATTCGAATGTTGATTTTTCTCCCAACAACATCTGTCTCACCTACTACTAACTGACTTCTGTCTCTTTGCATGAATAAACTACTTTAGTTATTTCACCCTTTGATAATACAATATTACACTTCCATGTCATTCTTAGAAGTTCTGTTTCACGGTGAAATATGTGTAATCTGAAAAATATTACCTTCGTCTGTGCATCAAGGTCATCTTTCATGCCTGGTGGTGAGGTGCCAGTGTAGTCCAAAGATGACACTGGTCTGGCCCTTGAACTACTTGACGATCCCGTGTCCATCGTAGCAAGAAGTCGACGTCGAAGTGCGGCTTCATTGCGGCGTGAAGCAGTGAGAGCTGCTTCATTGGCTTGATTTGCGGCTTGAGCATGTGAGAGGTTTGAGGAGAGTTCTGCCACTCGGTTTTCAAGATCAGCTCGACGTTTTTCGTATACTGCCAGCTGAGCACGAAGACCTTCAACCTCTGAAGTGCCTTGTAGATGATTTAATTGCGAGGAGTAGTATTCGGGTGAAGAGGTGTCTTGATTGACGTCATCTGTTGGTAATTTGACATGGTTGTAAACTACTTATATTATTAATGAGTAGTGATCTAATACAATAACTTACTTTTGATGTTCGAACGGGAATCAGTAGAAAGAAGGGAATTTCTGAGTCTAAAATTACGAATATAAATATTATCTTATTATATTCATTAAAATTGACTTTAAGTCCTCACTTATTTGTCATTGAAGGTAAACTGTGTCTATGTATGCTACTAAACATAGAGTTAAGACGTCTGATTATTGAAATTATTATATTCTGGCTTGTTTTTGCATCTAAGGCTGATATGATATATCTGAAAAGATACTTTTTAAATATACAGACAGATATGTTTTCAGAATGTCTAAAACCACCGTTTCCATAAAGTTCACCTGCTTCCTCAAAGCGGCCTTCCACCACAACTCTAGTTAAGGCGGACAATGATGAGAAATCGATCTTGCAAAACCTGTTTCTCTCGCAAATAGAGCAATATCTAACGTGGCTTCACCTTCATATTGTAGGCTTCCCTTTAGCACTCAAGTTAAGGCATTGTCGTATCGCATTGATCTCAGTCTCACCGGACCTCTTTATAGAGCCTCTTATTGGGCTATTCGCATTCAAAGTGACCTGAGGTTATATCTAATCAAGTCAGCAACATGGGATACCGCCATTAACATTCCCTCAGGCCACCATTGAAAGCTATTGTAAACAGAAATATCAACCAGTTCTCTTTCACCAGATTTGTAGTCAGTCCCCCCCCCCTCCTCTTCAATCTCCGCTTAATCTCAGTGGTTAGGATGAACAATTTGTTGACACTTTGAAAAATGGAAGAAGTGACTTATTCTTTACAGTTTAGTTGCCAAATGACGCTGTATACTGACGCTCAAATCCGGGTTCTCTATCCCCAAACAATTTCGTTATCGGAAAGCAACCGTTCTTTTTTGGGAATTGAAAACAGATATCTACCCGAAAGCATGTGGCCTCCTTCAGTCAGGAAACCCGAAACTTCTGAGTTCCATTGACCAAACCGTTGCCCCGTGGATTACAGAAGGCTTCGAAAGGACTTAAAAAAGTTCTAGCGCTCAAGTGTAGGGAGTAAAAAACTTTCACAGGGTAGTCTTTAATACAAATTAATAATTATCACCCATGAAATAAAAATAAATTAACAATTCACTGCCATTTTTTGACTTTGCTACTCCCATTCATCGTCCATCATTTCAGGGTTAAGTTTCGGATAAGTATTTTGTCCTTTTAATATAATCAATTAAGGTATGATTTATAAGTGCATAGAAGATTATAAGGTTCCGGTGGTTTGTTCATAATCAAGCGCTAGTGCTTGAAAATGCAAATACGTTTGAGTTTCATTTGGTCAATCATATCAGCATTAATATTTTTCAATATAATAGCAAAAAAATTGATACCACGGAATAAAAATTCGTTATGAAGATCCTACCTATCAGAGTGGATCTTTTAATGTGACTAATAGTGGGGTGCTTATATATGAGTCCGAAAGAGAAGTTTTAATCGATTTTTTTTTACTTTTTCAACACTGAAAGCTTGCACACACACACGCACAATCAAATGACTCTGGTTGCATAGACAATATCCTAGAGTGTCAGGCTGAGGTGTCAAACCAGCCAAGCGTCACAATTTTAATTGCAATTGTCCATTACTACGACTCAATTTTAATAGCATGTCAATCATTTAAAAAAATCGAAATTCTTGCGCATTCTAAGCGCACCGCGACGCCTGTTCGAAGTTTGAAAATATTTCTGTGTGCAATTCAGTCTAAAGTGGAATAGTTTTGTGTAAAGTTTATTGTAAATTTAAACCGTCTTCTGTGTTGCCGATTCACCTAGCAACTTTTCCTTTCAACGCAACTCAAAGATGGAAGCCATTGTCCAGGGTGGAGTAAATGTACTTTAGGGGGGAGTTCGGATTGTTTTGCTTCTTGTTTATTAAATTATGATTTCCTTATTGAAATTGAACTAATAAAATTAGTTAACATGAAATTTGTGGAATTTAATTTGCAAATCTGATATTTCGGATTTTTCTATTGGCATATCATTGCCAAGTAAGTATTTGCTCTCTGAACACATTTGCCATAGAAACTGTACCTTTTGAGATTCCGAACTGATTCAAGAAGGCTCTCTGCATTCAGAACGTCGATACCTTCCAATTCGGTCGCCAATTGCTGTGCCACATGGGCAGTCAGATGAAGACCTTGAGAGACCTCATCTTCTGTTCTGCTATTTTCAGTGGCTTGCCCTGATGTCTATAAAAGCACGAATATTGCTTTTATCAAGTCCATATAAAGCATCATATTATATTTCATGGTCAGGCGTGTGCGATAGACTTACCTCCACTTGGTGCACCCTGGGTAACGTACGCTCATACGCAAAAAAAACTAATTGACTGGCAGTTGACTTCTCACCTCAAAATACCATGACTGCATTGTATGGCATATTCCACCACTTTCACAGTACTCGACTTACCTTTTCTCTGCCTTTGTGTCTGTCTGCCTCTTTTA